TTGGATGAACTATTTGGGACGGTTATCTTCTCAAAGATTGACTTTAAATCGGGATACAACTAGATTAGGATGAAGCTAGGGGATGTGCAAAAGACAACTTTTAGAACCCACGAGAGTCACCATGAGTTTTTAGTGATGCCTTTCTGCCTTACCAATGCTCTAGCCATTTTTTAGTTACTCATGAATCAAGTTTTTCAACCCTATCTCAGAAAGTTTTAGAATGATTTAACTTCAGTCTATGCAAAGAAAGTTGTATATGTTATTATTGTTATAGGTCCTGGTTACAAGCTCCCTATTTATCACAATGTGAGAGTAAACCTACTTAAGAATTGTAAAAAAGCATGTAGGCTACTCATTGATAACTATAGACATTCTTGGAAGGAAAGAGTTTATACTCTTATAGCATATGAATGGATTGATAGTAGGAGCAGAACATTAATTAATTTTCTGATATACTGTTCGCGATGTGTATATTTTTTGAAATCAGTGAATGCTTCTGACATAACAAAGGATGTTATAAACTTGTGCTCTTTATTCATTGAGATTGTTGAGTGGGTAAATCTAGAGAGTGTACTTCAACTAGTTATTAATAATGTTGTTAATTACATGAAAGCATATTAGATGTTACATGAAAGATTCAACATATATTGGTCGTCTTGTGCTGCACATTATATGAACTTATTTTGAAAGATATTGGTAGCATGCCTCTCACAGAGGACCTAGCAAGAAAAGCTTCGAAGATAACATTTTTTTGTTATAATCATATTTTTATATTTGCATGACTTAAGAAAAGGTTAGAATGGAAGGAGATCGTACGTCCAAGAGCTACCCATTTTGCAACAACCTTCATAACTTTGAAAAGTGCCCATGAGCACCACCATGAACTATAAGAATTAATTACTAGCAAGTTTTATACATATTCAAAGATATCCAAAACCTCCAAGGGAAAGGACGTAGCTTCAATTATATTAGATATGAAGTTTTGGGATAATTGCCTTATTATTTCAAAGACATCAGGCCATTTGATTCGGTTGTTGTGTATTGTTGACTCGGATGAGAAATTGTGGCTCGGATATGATGGCATGTATAGGGCACGAAAGGCAATCAAAGCTATGTTTAGAAATGTAAATAGATCATATAAGCCATTTACCATTATAATAAAAATATGGGATACTCAATTAAGGCAAGGCATCCATGCACCAACATATTTTCTCAATCCTCATTTTCATTATGATAGAGAGAACTATTGACAAAAGCTAGAAATTTTATAGGGTCTTCTTGAATTAATTAGAAATAAAAATATTTGTTCTAAGCCCACAATTGTAATGAATGAGGTCAGATTATTCCGTGATGGCTTAGAAAGTTTTGGAAAAATAATTGCATTAATGATGGCAAAAAAAATGCAACCTGATAATTCTTTTAATGTCAACATATGGTTATATATTTATATTTTTATTTACAAATATGCATACTCACTAAGCTCTCTAACTTGATAATATGTAGATGAGTGGTGAAAGATATTTGGATCAAGGGCTAAAAACTTGCAGAAAGTATCTATAGGAATTTTAAGCCAAAAATCATCTTAATCAGAAGCGAAAGAAATTAGAGTATTTTTTAACAGATCCACTCAAAGAGACGCAATTATTTGGAGTGTCAATGGCACAACGATTTTGTATATATTCGATATAATATAAATTTAAAGAATATGTATAATCTTACAGTATATTAATATTTATGTTTAAGTGTCAATTTAAAGAGCCTCTATAATCTAGAGCTAAAATTATTTTGTGTTTTAGATTTCAACTTAAAAAAAAGATATTATGATCATTTGAACTACACTTGTGTTGAAATAGTAAATTTTTGGATACTTGAAGATGAAATAATACCAGAAATTGACTTAGAGGACTTGAAAAATGACACATACAAAGATGATGCAATGCAAATGTTGAAGAATAAAATATCATCCAATCAGCCAAGACATAGTAAGTTGATAATGAAATATGAATATATCATTTAAATAAAACAAAAAATAGTGTCTTATCTTATATTTCTTATTTGTTGATAAAGTTGATTTAGAGAATGAAGATGGAGATGACATAATCGAGTTTGATCAATCGGATGCATTTGGGTTTGAATATTTTGATGATGCAAATTTAGAAGATCTTTGATTTTCTTCTTATGGAATTATTGAAAATACTAAACTGAAAAAGTAAAACATAATTAACTTCATCCCTATATCATGAATATGTTTTCTTTTTATTATCAATTATAGTTGATTGTCTTCAAGTGAAATATAGTATTATGTTTTGCTTATTTATTTGAATATTTATGTCAACTCTAAATTTGATTATCAGGTTTATCATTATAATAACTATCTCATGTTTATTTTATTTTGAGAGCTTCATCAATTGCAAGTATAAATTATAAGATCTCAAGAGAAATTTTGATTTCATCTCTCAAGTTATGAATACAAAGAGGTCAGTCGCTCAAAATAATAATGTATTTAATTTTAAACTTACTAATTTTTTTTTTTATGTTTCATATAATGATTCTGTTTAATTTTTGTTATGTAGTTACAAATTGTTGTTTGATTATTATAATAGTTAAATATAATAAGTATTTATTACATCATCTGGTTTGACCCCGGTCGAATTATCGAACTGCTAACCTCTTCTTCTGATTCGTTGTCCGGTCAGGTATTCAAAGCCTTACATAAAATTTTAAATATAGTTATTCTCAATTAAATAACATCAATTAAAATTTAATTTCCACTTATGTGGGTAATAAATTTTAAATAACATCTCTAAAATTTTAAATATTAATTTGACTTAAATTTTATTTATAATTTAATAAATTTTAATAATTTAATTATAAGATAATATCTAAGGCTTCACTTTAATATGATAAATTATCATTGCATTAGTAGAGTTTCAAATTAAAATCTAATCATTCTTTTTATATCTCATAATTAAATAAATTTCTAATTTTACATTAAATTTTACTCAAACATCTAAATTTTAAACTATAAAATCTCATAATCTAGTAATCAACTTTGACATAATTTTCTAAAAATTTTAATAATGAAATTTTCTAAAATAGGCAACAAGTCACCCAACTAGGGGTGCAAACGAGTCGAGCCGAGCTCAACACCCCTGAGCTTTAGCTTGATTAATTAATCGAGCTCGAACTTTATTCTACGAGTTCAAGCCGGCTCACTTATTATGAAAGAGAAACGATTATACAACAACAACAACAACATCAAGCCTTTATCCCACTACGTGGGGTCGGCTACATGAATCCTTTTTCTCCATTGTGTCCTATTAAAAGTCAAATTCTCGTTTAAATCTAATAAAGAAAGGTCATTCCTAATATTTTCTAACCAAGTTTTTTTAGGTCTACCTCTACCTTTCTTAATATAAGTCAAATCTAATACCTCTACTCTCCTAACCGGGTCATCGCAAGGCCGCCATTTCATTTGACCAAACCATCTAAGGCGACTCTCTCTAATCTTATCTTCTACTGGAGCTACTCCAACCTTTTCACGTATATGCTCATTTCGTATCCTATCTCTAAGGGTAAAGCCATTCATCCACCTGAGCATCCTCATCTCTGCCACACTTAACTTAGTATTATGCTTCTCTTTTAATGGCCAACATTCGGCACCATAAAGCATTGCAGGCCTCACCACCTTCTTATAGAATTTTCCCTAAAGTTTGAGGGGTACTTTTCTATCACACAACAAGCTCGATGCATTCCTCCACTTCAACCATCCAACTTGAATTCTGCTGATAATATCCCCATCTGTTTCACCATCACTCTGAACAATAGATCCAAGATATCTAAAACGTGTACTCTTATTAATGACTTGATCGCCCAAAGTCACAATCCTCTCACTATGTCTATTACTACTAAAATTACACTCCATATATTCCATTTTAGATCTACTCAAGCGAAAACCTTTAGACTTTAAGGTTGACCTCCATAATTCAAGTTTACCTTCAACTCCCTCTCTAGTCTTATCAACAAGAAGAATATCATCAGTAAAAAGCAACTCCAAATGACGAAATTGATCTGTTTTTTTTTATTATTTCTCTGGTTTCTTTTTTTATTATGCTACTTAGCATTTCTCAAAAAATGACGAAATTGATATGGTTTCCTTTCTCTTCACGTAATGACCCTTCGCCTCATTCTTTTGCAACTCTTCATTTCACCTTCTCCACGACTCCAAATGGTGCAACGAACTCCTTCATTCCCTGTGTTTCCTTTTTCCTTGCAAGGCTCCAGGAAAAGGAACTAGTGTTCGTCAGTTCGGTCATTACAATATGTTTGAAGATGTGGATGTCCTATTGCTACACAGTAAACTATTAACGAAAATACAAAAGATAGCGAAAGGAATTGAGAAAATCAAGCAAACAAACAAATGTAGGGGTGAAGTGGGTTACAACTTTTTGGAGCACTCATGGGTTACATGTGTTAATCGATTGCATGATCTGAATTATTATTTTAAAAGAAGAATCCTTGCATTTTTAAGCTTCTATAGCATTTCAATATGCTTGGACCGGAAAAAGAAAATCTTATTTCATAGAAAATTCTTGTGTGATCCTAAATTTCTTCTTTTGTTATATGAACTTGTTGAGGGATTAAAATAACTTTAATATGCATTGACATGATACTTTCATATCATCTGAAGCCAGAAGCATATAACTCAATAGTCCTCCAGGAAATGCATGGATGGAAAACAACTTCTATTATGTTTATATATACGCTTCAATTAAAGAATGGATGTTATAACTAATCTCATGTTAAATAAATTTTTCTTTTGAAACAACGGCCATAAACCTGTAAAGTCATTACAAAATACACAAAAACGAATCTGTCCTGAACAAGTTTACTTCAGACACCTTCAGGTACAAGTGCTTTAAAAATTAGCTAAATTCGGTTGAAACTATAAATTCAAAATTCTCATCTAAAATAAAAGATAAACTAAACTTATCGATTACCTTCAGAGAAAAAGAAAATTTGGTCCGGCTGCGTTCCATTATTTGAAACAATTCTGTACATGTTCTTGGGATCAGTCCAGGATGATTCTCTGAACCATAGATTGTGAAGGTCTTACCAGAACTAGATTGTCCCAAAGCAAATATGCAGACATTATACCCATTCACTGCAGATTGTATGAGATACTGCACATAATTAAAAAAAAATTAATCTATTTTAAATGAAAGCTAGTAATAATTCATTATTAGTAGAAGAATAGACATGCAACTTTAAAATGCATACAAAACTATAAAATAAGAATTTAAGAAACAACAATTGCCATTTAAATCACTTGCCTTGGTATCTTCAAAAACATCATCCTGGGAAGCACTTTGGTCAAAAACACGATCAAAGAAATAATGTTTCCATTTTTCATCTTTCAATGGATATGCAACAGTAAACTCATCTTCACTGACTAATATGTTGTTCTCCTTTACATCAATCTCCTTTTCAGTTAAAGAACGTATACGACAAAAAACTCTTATCTTGCCTTTCATATCTATGGTTTAACTCATTAAGAAATTACAGCCAAATTAGGATGATAGCAAAGATAAAATCTAGGATAAAAAATAATCAGAAAGCAAATTTGATTGGACAAAAGACCTTCAATGATATTACAATACTGTCTCCGTAGAAGTTGCTCTCCTTTGCAAAGTGCTTCAAGCTCGGACAACTGTGCTCCTTGCCCATTCAAAATTGAAGCTATTTGTTCATTATTCCTATCAGAATCCTGTTTAAACAAACAAAAGACATCAGCCATGTCAGGCAGAAGCAATATTATTGCATTTATTGAAAAGATAATGATCTAAATCAGTTTCCTTTTTGAACTGCTGCATTCTACTGGCATCTAAACACATTGGCCAAAGAAGATGATTTTTTCACATTTTCATGCCACCAGATAGCATAGCTAGGGAAATAAAATAAATGCTTGTTTTTCTTAAGTTAATCTTGCCCATGCAGTTGACTAAAGAAAAGAGAGCATCATTCTCAACAACTTTGGGTTAAACAAGGACTTACTCTGTAAATATTCACTAAAGTTTCAAAGACGCTCAAGTTGCACACTTACTTCTTTCATTTCACGCAATTCTTCTAACTCTTCTAGATTGCTGTTTAATGAATGCAGTTCGGCATTTCTAGTTAAAATAGTAGATTCAGCAACATTTAATGATGCTGTTAAACTTTCCAATTTCTTCTCCATCTCCAAGGCACGGAGTTGCAGTTTCAGCTGCTCATTTTCGAAGTTCTTTATCATCATAATAATCTGTATGTTAGTAATGAAAAACATCAGCTCATGTATTATAGAAAAACAAGAGGTTATTTTGGAACCATCAGAGCATATTGGTGAACTCTTACAAATCTTAATCTTTAAAAAGACATTTACTATATATGACAAAAGAAACAACCTCTTCTTCTTTCTTCTTTTCAAGTCTTTGAATCTTCTCCTGAAGCAAAAGTTTCTCCTTTAGCATCACCTTAACAGTATCTTTAGATGCATGCAGTTCATTCTTACGTATATTTATATCCTCCTGAAGTTTGCTGATTGTCTGCGCCAAGACAAACAAACAATGCACCAATTACATATTTTGTGGTAGTGTTTCATGGACCAAAAAAAGAAAGATGATATTCTTATGGTAAGGAATTATTTTTACAATCTTTTAATAGTGAAATGTGAAACTACAAGACTTCAAAATAAATAAGAGAAAAAAGGTTAAACGCAAAAGAAAATACCTGAAAATCACTCACAATATTCCTTACATAACCACCATCCCCATCATGATAATCAAATGCAGGCGTGAATTCTCGGGTAGCATTTTTAAAAGATTGGTGTCCCTGTGAACTCAGCTTTGCTAGTTTGGCCTCAATGCTTTGAGTATCAACTAGTGCATTCTGTAAAATCATTTAAAGAACTGTAAAATATGTGGTGGTAAATCATTGCACATAACCATTAAAACATACAATAAAACAAGAATGACAGTGTGACACTAAGGAACTGAGTGAGCTTTTTTTATTAAATTTGTTCAACACTCGTTAAGACTGAAAGATGTACCTGCAAAGCTGACTCTTTTTCATCACATAATTTTTTTAGTTCATCCTGATCACTAATAACTTCTCGAATCTTTTCCTTCTCAGAACCCAAGGAATCTTTTAGCTTTTCCATTTCCTCTTGCATCTCAATATCATGCTTTTGCCTTGCTTGCAATTCTTCTAACAACTAAACAAACCAAATCAGTTGAGTTAATGCCTAAATAAAGACTAAGAGAATTGCAGTACAGCTTCAGGAAAATCAATCTCAGCCAATATTATTAACTTCAAGATGTATATGCATAGAAAAGCCCTCCGTTATACCCATCGTATTGGAGCAGAATATGAAGTTTGTTCTTTGCATTAAAGATTTAAAGCAGTTCTACAAGTAAAACCTTCTAGTCATCTGTTGACCCCTATACCTCAGACCACGCGAGAAAGGACTCAAACTGGCAAATAAAGCGATAAGCGCCTTGACGCCACAAGTCACTTGAAGGGTCAAATGACCTCTGATTGCCAAACGGACTACTACGACATTGTGATCAGAACATCAAATTCTGCTAGGACGAGACCCCTCGCAATCGAGCCGGATGAGATAGATCAAAAGAGATGACCGACACCCAAAATTAAAGCGCGAGGTTGATTAAACAACATCGGATTGATGAACAGACTTCATCATTGTGTCCAGAACACCATCAATGCACTGTCAATTTGTTCGAATAAGGTTGTCCACGCAAATTGAGGCAATTCCAAAACGACAAGACAACACGCATTTTGAGGAAATTAGGCCTCGACGTTGCCCAAACGATGTCCGATCGCGAAGCAAACTGTGTTGTTGCAACCAGAACGTCGAAAATACGCTAAAGTCATTGTTAATTTGTTTAATTTTGATATTCGACAAAATTGACATGCAAAACGGGATGATCAGCATGCATTTCGAGGAAAATTAGCCTTGACGTTGCTCAAACGACGTCCGATCATAAAACGGACTGCGTCCGGGAACATCGGCAGTATCCTAAATGCAATATCAATTTGTTCAATTTCGATATTCGGTGAATTCAACACGCAAAACGAGATAATCGCACGCAAATCGTGAAAATTGAACGCAAATCGAGGCGATTTTGATTTGTTTTATGGAGCTCTACCGTTTCTAATTAATGCACGATGACATATCATGAATAGATCTGATAGCTTGATAAAATTTTAATAAACAATATGTGCCATATAGAGAAAGAAGTAAGATCAGAAATTTAATGCTATTAATGTTACTTCGTTTTGTCTTGTCAATCCTGCACATCACAAGCTGGCTTTGGCTTGTCTTCGAAACAAAATAAGTCTCGTAATCTTTAGATACACGAACCCCAGCTCCCTCCCCTCAATGCACGTACCAGCCTTCCACTTTCCTGTTCGTCTAGCCACAGGAAACAAATCCTCTTCTCTCTATGTCCCTCTACCTACCGAAATCTCTGTCCGTCTCTCCTCTAATCCGTCTGTACTTCACCTCCGTTCCTCACAAGCAAACTCCACAGCTGCTGATGTCCTTCAAAGATTCTTGCAAGAGGCCGCATGAAACCCCTTCCAAGCCGCTGCCTTGAGGGCTGCTGTTCTCCATCCACTTCAACAGCAATAGAAGCATACCTCATCCTTCTCTAATAGAAGAAAACAACAGCAATTTGTTGTTCTGCTTCCACTCCACGAGTTATAACCAAACTCACCACAAACACCTATTCAGCAAGTCACAGCACGAAGGAAAGATCCAAGGCAGATAACGCTTACAGCAACGCAGTTGGAGCAGCTCAAGGTGGAGGAAAAGATTAAGGCTTCGTTTGGAACGGTTTTTTTTTTACTTCTTAAAGCAACTTTTTAGGACAAAAATTAAAATTTTTATACTAGAAAGCTGCTTTAAGAAGCAACAAGAAAGTCGTCCCAAACTAAGCCTAAGTCATCACCAATAAGTATAGAACAACTATCTGTGCAAGGAGATGAAGTATTTGGAGATATCAATGAGAAAGCTTCAAGAATTATAAGCAGCTTGGATTACTTAATGAATAAATTGATGTTAAAGAAAAATTACTGGCCATAAAGCCCAATAATCTGAACTTTACATTAGCTACTAGAATACTTCTAGCTATTGAACAGCACACGAAGGCTTGGAGAGAGCTGGGTTCTCTGCTGGTAAATCTATTATTCTATTAGGTGGAGCAGGTGGAGTTGGATCTTTGGTGATTTAGCCGACAAAGCATGTTTATGTGGCATCAAGAGTTGCTGCCACTTTAAGCACGAGTAAGTTGGAGCTACTCAGTTTAGCAAACAACTATAACAGGGAAAATTTGAACGAGCTGACAGGAAGATTCGATATAGCATATGACACTGTTAGTCTAGGCGACACCGGATCCAAAGCAATGAGAGAAGGTGGAGATTCTTGCTGGAGAAATCAATCGCTTGCGATCCTTAGCTCGAAGCTTGAAAGCAAGTCCAATGAAACAGCAGAGCTGATCAACTAGTTGGGTTTAGAAGTTGAATCTTTAAAGCTTGAACTTGAAGAGGCAGAGCTAGCTGAAGAAAAGTTGGTTGAGATGGAAGCCTTCGCTGAAGGGCTCAAGATTGAACTAATAGATGCAAGGAAAGCTGAGTCGTTAGAGTCTAGCTTGTAGGAAGTAAAACACTCTGAAAGTATTGGTGTAGGATCCTCTTGCTTCTTTGACAAAGCAGGTAGAAGAGAGCAAGTCTACGCTAGATGACACAGAATCTGAAGTAATATGGCTTAAGGGGAAGGTTGAAACATTACAGCTTGAAATTATTAGGCATAAAGCATATCATGAAATTTCTGATAAACATCATGATTTAGAAAAGCAAGAAGTGTCGGATTTGGAAAAAGACGGATTAAGTCTTGAAGATTGAGATCCAGATAGAGAAGGAGAGGGGAAAAAAAGAGAAGAAAATGGAGCTCACAATCATACAGTAGTTCAGCCTACCCTTTTCCTCCTATACCTGATTCATACGTCACTCCAGATTTCAGCCCAACAACAGTCCACACTTTTCAACTCAAGCCCATCTTTAAAACAGCTTAACAAAATCTATCCACTCACAAATCCTCCTAGCCTACTTCATCTCAAATGATCCACTTAATGTTTCAACCACCATTTTTACTTCAAGCCCGCTAAAGCCCATTTCAAAAATAAAAAAAGAAAGGGAGTAATTCTCTGTTTCATTGAGTTCTTGATTGTTTGCATTAGTTATCATTATTAAATGATGTATTTAACATCTTTTTTAGCTAATTATGCATGTTCTAACCTGCTGATTTTTTATATGTATGCATATACATATATGAATATGTGTATAAATACACGTGTATACTTCAAAAAAAAAAAAAAGAGAGTTCCAAAAAAAAAAAGAGAAAGGAGAGAGTTTTCAAAAAAAAAAAAGAGAAAAGAAAAGAAAAATGATGTGAGAAATATTTTTGTACATTTTCATTGTCATACCGCCGACGTCGCCAAGGTATAAGCTCCTAAACCTTAAAACTCCGAGAACCCGCTTTCGATGCTTGCAACGTGACAAAACAACCACCTATACACGCTTTTCTTAGCGTGGTGGGAGGAAGTTCATCGCAGTGCTCTCGACGAATCGGGTGATCACCTAAAATCCCTTCTTTAGCATTCGTGGCGCACCGGAAAACCGCCTATACACGCTTTTCTTAGCGTGGTGGGATGGGAACCTGTTGCGATTCGTACGACAAAGTAAGGATACCCATAACAAAATCTATCCACTCACAAATCCTCCTAGCCTACTTCATCTCAAATGATCCACTTAATGTTTCAACCACCATTTTTACTTCAAGCCCGCTAAAGCCCATTTCAAAAAAAAAAAAGGGGGCGTAATTCTCTGTTTCATTGAGTTCTTGATTGTTTGCATTAGTTATCATTATTAAATGATGTATTTAACATCTTTTTTAGCTAATTATGCATGTTCTAACCTGCTATTTTTTATATGTATGCATATACATATATGAATGTGTATATATACACGTGTATACTTCAAAAAAAAAAGAGTTCCAAAAAAAAAGAGAAAGGAGAGAGTTTCCAAAAAAAAAAGAGAAAAGAAAAGAAAAATGATGTGGGAAATATTTTTGTACATTTTCATTGTCATATCGCCGACATCGCCAAGGTATAAACTCCTAAACCTTAAAACTCTGAGAACCCGCTTTCGACACTTGCAATGTGACAAAACCACCACATATACACGCTTTTCTTAGCGTGGTGGGAGGAAATTCATCGCAGTGCTCTCGACGAATCGGGTGATCACCTAAAATCCCTTCTTTAGCATTCGTGGCGCACCGGAAAACAGCCTATACACGCTTTTATTAGCGTGGTGGGATGGGAACCTGCTGCGATGGGTACGACAAAGTAGGGATACCCATAAGTACCCGCTTGCGTGGAAACAACTGCTTTTCTTTTGCAACAGGTACCGAAGACCCATACACACTTTTCTTAGCGTGGTGGGGAACGAAGAAAATATGGCCGCGGTGTCCTCGTACGAGGAACCTACCATTCATGCTTTTCTTAGCGTGGTGGGAAGGCCCAGTTTCCCGTAGTTTTCCCCTAAATGGGCGCCGGGAGGCTGCCGAAATTTTGGGTAAATGTAGATTGAACTTGGACCTAACTGAACTCAAAAAGGACATGCATTTGAACTTGAACAAAGCTTGGAACTTGAACTTAAGCCAACAAATAAATAAGGGATCTACTCAAATCAGAACTCAAACTAAATTCAGCAGCTTAAGCTTGAACCATAAACTCAAGCTCAAACTCATATTGAACTTAGACAAAATTCGAAGTACGGGGGACTCGAATGAATGGAAGAGGCTCATTATGAGCTTGAACTAAGGCTGGACATGAACTCGGGTTGAAATCAAACAAACTAAGTGCAAGAGAACTCATATTCAAATGAACCAAGTGTGTGGGCATGAGCTCAAGTTGGACTCATACTTGAACTTTACAAGGCAACCAAAGAATTGAATGGAATACATAAGCTTTGAACTTGTCACATACAAAGAGCAATAAATTGAAGTACTTGAACATTGAAGGCACAACATGGAATGTAATTCAATACTTAAAATGGGACTTAATTTGGCAAGATGATAAGATTAACCATGCAAGCAAGGATCATGGGGAGAATACAATGATATGCTTGTAA